TTGAAGGCAGAATGGTGCGGAAGGAGAAACGGTCCTTGTAGCTACGTAAGAGGCTTCTGGATGAGCACGGTCAAGTTGCCCTCTTTGCCTTGCCTGCTTCATTTATTTTATTATACTTTTTAAATTCCATTTTTATTGTTAGCCACCCAGAGTAGACTTGTGTCTGGAGGGGGGGGGTATAAATTTAATAAATAAATAAAAATAGACTGAGCGGTGACCCCTACCGCATTCTCTCCCCATCCCTCTCCTGTGTTTCCCCCAGTGCCGCTTCTGGTTTTCTTCCCCCACCCCCTCCGGAGGTGGGGGAAGATAAGGGGTGTTGGAGGCCAAAGGACCCAGCCGAGTCTTTTTCACCGGTCGCAGAAGGGCCCCTGATCTTCCATCGTGGTGGAGCCAGACCAGACTGCCAAAGTGTGTTAATAGCCGAGGAGGTCACCCCAGAATGATCTGACCGGCCGGCCGGCCTGCTTGCCTGCCTTTCGAACTTCATTCCCAGGATTGAAGGCAGACACCAGAAGAGAGAAGAGTGTTTCTTTGGCTGCTGGATTCCTCTCTCTTGGGCATGGCAGAGCCAACCTGTAAGTGTGGAAGGGAGGAGATCATCCTTTGACTTGAATTCCTGCCGTGAGCTGGGGGTTGGACCGGATGGCCTCAGAGGGTCCCTTCCCACTCCATCATTCCTTGATTCTGTGGTCCTGGCACCTATTCATGTCTTCTGTGATCTTCAGTAGCAAGAAGAGCCATAAAGGTGGACAAGCCCACCCCATCCTCAGCCCACCAGTTTCTCCTACATTTTCCACATCGCAGTGTGTCTCGTGTGTCGCAGCTAGCCGGTTGTCCTTCCACACAAGCAGTCGTGTGGCTCTGGCACATGTCCCGAATCTTCTGCAAGAGGCTTTATGGGGAGCAGGCCTCTGGCGAGCCAGCCAATACAGAAACCCTTCAAGGATGATGAGGAATGAATGGGAGAGGCATTTCCTAGCACTTGGCCGCTTGCATCAGAGAAGGAACCCAATGTTGACTGGATGGAAAATGTCAGATTTCCTAAGTCTGGGCACATAAAAACAGCCCATCCGCCTTTCCAGGCTGCCCCCCTGCCAGCACCGCTTGGCACAGCTGACTCAGTCAGGCTCGGCTTCGTGGCCCTCCCAGTCCGCCCCTGAATGCTCGAAACAACACAGGAGAGCCCGCGTAACCGGGGAGTCTTTGGGGATGCCTTTAAAACGGACACCGGCCGTGCCTTGCTCACCTAAGACACAAGCTTTTGAGCCAGCCATTTTTAAAAACGTGGGTGGAGTTCATTCCAAGCATATAATATATACCTGTGTTGTGTTGTGTTGTGGGTGGGTGGGTGTGCGTGCATGCGCACATGCGTGCACATGTGCTGGATTCTCTACACACACACCCCCGCTGAATATGAGCGGGTCTCTCACCGATACCCTTGAAACACATTCTGCTTCTTTTCCCCGGTTCATTTTTAATACATTCACAAACTCACCTTTGGGTTTTTCTAGGAAACCTCACCCTGGCTGGTCGCCCTTAAAATTAAACCCTCATTTTGGGGCAAAAAGTTAAGCCTGGTTTCCAAACTCTGCAGCCTAAAAAGAGAGGAGAGCGTATGAATGAATGAATGCCAGCCCTCTCTGCACATGAATCAATCAAGCTTGCCCTTGCTTTAAGGTTCTGCCTCTCCCTGATGCCACAGGGGAGCCAGTTGGGGGCCCTTTTTGCTAAAGCCCTCGATGCCTGCTAAGGGGGAATTTGAAATCAAAACAGGCATTTCCATCATTGGGGCTGGGAAAGCTGGCAAGCATGCATGCACGGGTCCCCATCTCCGGTTGGGGGCCCTTTTTGCTAAAGCCCTTGATGCCTGCTAAGGAGGAATTTGAAATCAAAACAGGCATTTCTATCATTGAGGTGGGAAAGCTGGCAAGCGTGCATGCACTGGTCCCCGTCTCTTCCCCCCCCAAGCCGCTGAAAGGTTTGGTCAAAGGCCAGCTGGAAAAAATAGCATTGCTATTTAAAATAGCTCAGAGGAATTTACTCAATGAAAGCAGCCTCTTCCATCACGCAGGTGCACACGCGCCCCTCCCCGATGCCTTCTGCCACAACGTGTGAGCCGGTTTGCCTGCCTTGTTATTTGCTCGTTAAATTGTGCAATCGTTTCTCTTTTCCA